TTTCTGTTGTCACATTCCTCCAAGCAATGATGCTCTTATTCACATGCGCTGGACCCAGTGATGGACCCACCGCGCATCGGACCAACCGCGCCGCCGCGACCCGCGCGTGTCGTGCGGAGGCAGTACTGGCAGAGCTGCGAGTGACCGTCGCTCGGTCGCCCCGAAAAAAGGCCGGTCGCGCGGTGCAACGGCTGTGGACTGGCGGTGGAAGCGGCTTCTTGGGTCGTGGGGGCCCCGTCGGGGTGACGGTTATAGAGGGTTTCCAGTTCGTTGGTTTGTTAAGTTGGCACTTTCAAGTTTGCGAAAGCCACCAGAGGAGACCTGTTGGAAGGTGCTGATACTTGTAGCGTAGCTGGTGTCGTTGGTGATCGTCATAAATCATTGGCATGTTGTAAGCTCTGCTTTGCAAGAAGACAAGCTGATTTAGGACTATTTTCTGCGAGGTCAGTGACCTTTAAAGAAGTTGGATGTGAGTACAGCATTTCACAATCTCAGTGTCTGACCAGTGTTGCCAATCCACTGGTGGGCTCAAGGGCATACTGCTGAGCAGTTCAGCCCAAGCCATTAGCCAGAAGATGAGAAATTAGAAGATCAACATGCGCAAGACCATGCTCAAGATGTGGCTTCACTAGAAGTCATGAATGCTGAAGATGGATCACGGCCCGGTCGCTTTCATTGTGTGGCCACCAGGATGTCTTTGCTGCTGAAATCTGCGGCCGGAGCCAAGACTTTCAGCTAAGAACGCATCTCCGGTAGCAAATGAATGAGGCAACCTCCAAAAGAATCTAAAAAGGTGAAGTCTGAATCTTGATATTTGAAGTTGTCCTGTTCGCCAAATGTAGTTGTTCATTGTTGTTTCGCCGGCTTCTTGTTTGAAACCCCCAACGCTGCGATGATTCCTTTAGCTCTGGACCTGATCTCCGATGGCACGCCCCTATAGGCGCGAAAAACAACAAGTTCAGCTACTGAGTCACTGAATGACTTGAGTTTGAGTCAAATATAGAGTTTCATGCATGTGCATGTTGAATCTTTTTGATCCATGAAGCATGCTGCACTTGTATCATGTCATTTTGGGTATGATCCAATACCTTTTTTTAGGGTATGAGACCGCAATGTACAGATTGAGAATTCTAATGACCTGGTTATTAAAAACAACAAAACACACTATGTTTTTTGGCATCCCCCAACCAAAAGAAGGTAATGGAAGCAGAAGGTGTATAGTTATATTTATGTAGCACACGCCTTCCAACAGGTCTCCTCTGGTGGTTTTTGCAGACTTAAAGGTGGGTGGTGATTTGTTGAAGGGTCCTGGTACTTCGTTCACCCATTTGTGGAGGAATCTCGTTTTCCAAGGGGCGATGGTCCGCTTCGGCCGGGGCGCTCCGCTTGACTTCCCGAGTTCGGTCTGTTTTTTCGCAGTGGAGCATGCTCCGGCTCCTGAGTTCCAAGAGTTCATCTACACCCAACGCCTCTTAGCACCCACGCCTCTTATGGGGGGCTGTCAACGCCAGGCGCATGGATGCAGGCCGCTGAAGACCTCCGAGGCGCCGACCAAACTCTGCGAAAGAGTACGGCCAGCGAAATGCGTTCGGAAGGCAAAGTATGGCGATCTCTGGAATTCTCTTGCCATCCTGACCGTTCTTGGGCTCTTTTTTGGTGGATTGATGCCTCCACGATCGCACGTGATCGCCCTTTTTTAGGGCGATGCGCCACTGGCTTGGGCTCGACCTCCCCTGGCCGGGAGACCTGGCGGTCGAAGGGTTGCGGGAAGGCAGAAGGCTCCAGGGCTTCTGACCCTCCCATGAGGATTGGACCTGGGAGATGTACCGACAATCCATGTCTAGAAGATGTCTAACCAGCATGGATCCTTAAATTCATGTTAAAGTCACCGTCACATGTTGGCCAGTCTTCTGGATCCATGGAGTGTTTGGGAAGGATGAAGAAGTGCAGTTGATGGATGTTCTTGCTAGTGGCATCATGTGGCATTTATAAGGGGCACTGTGACCACTCAAAAACATTACTCATTGCGCCTCAGATTCTACATGATTATATCCCACTGCGTAAATGCACTCGTGAAAGGCTGCAACCGCCTTCATCCACCACTAGTGATGCTTACTGGAGAGTATTAGGGGTGGTGCTGCAGAGGGCCCAGCCACATCTTGCCAGCCGCGACCAAAGGTGGTGACAGCTGGGGTTTTGGAAAAAAACGTCGGAACGATCCGCCAAATTGGTATTGTATCATAACTATATATATATAGACGTTCTGCGATCCACAAGTTCACCAGTCCATGCATTGACTCCTTTTGAATACCTCTATAGCCGCTATCGGTGGTGGATCATAGACTCCCAGATGGGGTAAACATGAAGTGATTTGGAGTATGGGCCACCGCCGTAGCAGGTCTACGACCGGACCACCAGGTCCACCGGTCCACCAGTGGGTCTCCGAGTGCCATGACCCACAGCCATACCCACAAAGGCCAGGATGCGCCGCTCTGCTTTGTGCAGTGAGGGGGGGTTCTATCTTTTAAAAGCTATATGGTGAAGGCTGTCAGATTGTTCATGCCAGTCCAGATCAACGTTTGAAGCCAAAGGCCCAAAGGTCTTTGATTTACAAGGGCCTTGAGTGTTGATTGCTGACTTGCTGTTTGGTGCCCTCGAACCAATCTACTGCAAGGAATACCATTGTGTTGATCTATTTTGGGGGGTTGTTCTTCTTCTCCTTTACCAGTTTCCGGGTATTCCAAAGCTCACCCCAACATTCATCTATCATCTACCCCATCCTGCATTCGGAAAAAAACACATCACAAACACCGCAAAACACACCAAACGACGGACTGCTTTGAGACCTTGCCATGACTTCTGCACTGCGCCCGACCTGCGCCCGAAAACCGCGACCCGACCCGTCGCGATGATGTCGTGGCAGCCCGGCCGAGGTCCTGCAGCTGCACCTGTCCCGGACAGGAGGACGTGGGCGACGACCGCGCCGATGCGGTGCGCTTTGTGGACGACTTGGAGGAGGCCAGCGACGACGGGATGGCCGGGGTGTCGACCTGCGGGGGCGAAGAGGCTGAAGACATGGCAGAAAACAATTTAGCCCAACAGATGCATGTAAGCAAATATGGCCCTACATGAGACATCATGATACTACATGTGGTGTTTTTTTTCCTGAGTGGTGAATGTTGGTATATATTTGCCATGGATCCTTTGGGCTACTGTATATTATATCATAGATTTGGACTTCAGAAAAAGTGGAATAGGATCGGATGGCCTGGAGTTGTTGGGAACTGTGGGGGTATGTTTGGTTGAACAGTAGTTTGACCCCTTTTTGCATCTATGCTGGATGGTTTTTGAATGTAATGTACTACTCTAAGAATCAGGCAGAACAGTTTGTTTTTTTTTTGCGACTGTTGATTTGCATGGTCTTGCAATGTTTCTATAGGTGTTGAGACACATGTTAGGCCTGGAATATGGGTGCGGGTGCGCAAACTGCCTTTGCCTTCGGGGTCTCAACGATCGCCTCGCTCACCTCGCCTCTCAACGTGGCCAGTTAACCAATGCGGACGTCCTCTTGGAGAAAGCTGAAGCCAACGCCTTGCCTTCGGGGTCGCATTTGAGCCATGGCCAAGTAATGGATGTTCACCCAATATGTCGAAATGACGGATTCATGGGATCAATTTTTGTACTGAAGTTGAGATATTTACAGTGTATTTACAGTATATATCTCGTCACAGGATTCTGTCCATCAGCTTGAATGATTTCAGGTAAGAGTTTTAAGATGTTACAGAGCAAGACTTTAAAATATGATTATGTACTCAAATCAGCAAACCATTCTAAGTAGGTGTGTCTATGTATCTAGTATTATTAAGTATATATATATATATATGTGTCTTATAATAGAGAGTCTTTTGCTTAATTAGGGACTTGAGGTTTTAACATTCTGCCCCAACAGACCAGAACATGTGCCACATGTAGCTGCCTGGCACAATGCAGAATGTTCACCACGTAAATGCCTTAAATCGGGGGTTGCAAACATGTGCTCAAAATCCATGCACGGCGAAAGTAAATGTGGACGCCTTTGGGACAAGCCGTTTGGATCCTACGGAAGTGGAACAATCTTTACACATTGGGACATGTCCTTAATGACTGTACGTTTCCTGCAGGTGAATGACCAGAAGTTCCCCATTCCTCAGGTCCCGGAACCGGGACCACCCGGCTCGAGGACCATCCTGGCGACGGGGCCGCGGAGCCTGACCCAGTTACTGTGGGGCGTTCCGGAGCGCCGACGACGCAGCCCCACGCGGCGTTGGCGTGGTGTGGATCGCGGTCACTTGGGGGTGGGGGGGAGTCCAAGTTGCTACCAACTACATGCAATATGTGGGATCTAGTTGGGGAGTTCCAACTACATCGCATCCAAGTATTGGAGTATATACTTGGGATCTTCCAACTACATGCAATATGTGTGCCGAACTTGGCAGGCTTTTCAGATGAGAAGGCAGGAATTTTGCACAGTGGGAGGATGCAGGTATAGACCATGTTTTGATGTCATCCTCGTGCTGAGCAGGATATAGCAGGATTAGAGTTGCAGCTGCACTTGGACGTGCCACAGTTGGTTAGCAGCTTAATTGGAGTCTTTGACGCTTGAGTGCGTTCATTCACGTGTACAAACTGCCCAGGCTCAAAATCAAATAGCTGAATAAGGGAAAGTGTCACTCACAAGCTCACTCGCAGCATGTTCCCGCACATCCATTCCGATTCAGATGTTGCAGCCATGAATCTCATTCACACCGAAATTAAATGATAGATACCAACAATGTCAAACAGAAAATACCGAGCAGACAGGTGCAGATGGCACCAATTCAACCAAATTCCTCGACCTTAAAGCTCACATCAAGTCTCTCCAAAGGCTGGGTGTGCCTTCGCCGCCCACTCGGCGCCACGTCATGAAGCGCCCGGCTGCGGTGTCGGATCCACCTGCGTCGTCCAAGAGGCTGCGGATCTACATGTGTCGTCACGGCACCACGACGTGGAACTTGGCGAAGAAGTGGCAGGGTCAGCAGGATACTGAACTGGCACCGGAGGGGATCAGACAAGCTGAGGAGAGGCTTTGATGGAGAAAACAAACATAGAATGAACAAGGAGGGCTGATAGTTCGGGGTCTCTCAGATCTTCGTTGGGGGTTACTGTCCCACACTGGGATTTTCAACGAGCAAACCCAACAAGATCCCATGCCCAGCAACCAGAGTAGCAACTATAAAGATATAAAGACCTCCACCATCCTCCACCTCATGCGTCCCCATGCGTCCCCCCCCCAGAGGAGACTGGACGCCTCTTAGCCTCCAAGATCGCTTCGAAGACGCCGAAGATTTTCACCTCGGACCTGAAGCGCGCGAAGCGCACCGCGGAGCTCTACGCCGCGGCGATGGCGACGACGGCGGGGAGCTCTACGCCGACGGAGGTCGAAGTGGAGGAACGGCTGCGTGAGCCCAGCTTGGGGAAGTTCGAGGGGATGGTGAAAGGCCGGGAGAAGACTTGTGTGTGTTGTTTTTGTCTTTTTGTTGGTGTTGCGATTGGTGGAAGGCAAGGAACAAGATTGAATTCGGTTCTTGAATGTTAATTGTTATTAATTGTTCATATTTGTTCCACCCTCAAAGTCTCAAAGATAGCTGTACAAGTACAAGAGACTCCACTGCTGTCCAGGCTTGCTGGCTTTTTTGCTTGGACAGTTCGGAAGATCCGGGGTTCAAGGACTTCCCATTCTTCCAAACAATTGCACCCCAATTCATTCTTCCCCCCAAAAAAACGGTCAGTAACTGACTGAGTCATGACAGTTTTTGTGTGAGTCAATGCTTAAGTCCCTGACATGCAGGTGACATCTATTCCCAGCACGCGGAGTTGTTCCGAACCTTGGCCAGCTTGAGTCCCCAGGAACGTTTGCACAAGGCCTACTTCGAGGGTTTGGAGACGCCCTCGGAGACGTCGTTGCGCGTGGAAGCCCTGGCGGCGGAAGTGTTCGAGGCCTCAGAGGAGACGACGAAGCGGTCCAAACATTGTTTTGATGTTTTACGTTGTTTTAGTTTTTGAAGGGTGGTGGAACCTGATTCGGGGCAAGTATAGCCTAATAACTTTGCATGGCTTTTGCATATGACCTTCGGTACGACTGGTGACTGGGCCCGACCATGGCACCTACATAACAGTGTTGAACACATCACCTTCTGATAAGGTACTTGGAACCTGATTTGTATAGCCTTGATATTTGTAAGTAATGAAGTTGGTTTGTATGTTGCTGAAAGCACAAGATAGTACAAAGACGTTTGCACATGTTTGCACTGTTCGTGAGGGGTATACTGTCAATGGATATTTATACTGCCAATAAATGTTTGATTTCCCTCATCATAGTCATTCGTAAAAGGGGTCCTTCTCAAGCAACTGTGACAACGGCTCTCGATCACACGTCCAATGTGCCTTGAAGGATGGTGACGTGGTCCTCTTTGTGACGCATAGCAAAGTCTTGGAGGCTGTTCTGGCCAAGGTCTTTGGGAAGTTTTATGAGGGTGTTCACACGTCTCCTGGGGCTTTCTTTGTTTGGAACTACAGTGAGACAAAGAGTGGCTCACTGGGAGACCTAGGAGAGCTTCATCAGATTGAGTGTCACGACTATCAAGTCGAACAATGATGTCTCTGACCTCCATCGAAGACTCCGCAAAACCAGGGCATGCGTTTGCTTGCGTTGACTTGGAGGAAGGACATCAACATCGTTTGTCCTCGCACTGCGCTCACCAACGAAAAGACATGCGCTCACCATGCGCTGATCGGCCTGCGTGATGGGGCCAGGCAAGCAATGGAGTTTTTATGTGTTGTCATTCCCTATAGAAGTCCATGTGACTATATTTGGCACCAACAAAACACATATATTCCTTTTGGGCTGCAAAACAGGGGCGCAAATCCTCTGCTGTGACATGGCCTGGTCCGTGAAACCTAGCTCGTCATAGCTGGTCCATATCAAACTCCATCCCAACAAAATCCGGAAAAATCAAAGGTCCTTATAAGAGGATGTTGCTCAAAGTTTCTACTTACCTCCGATCGTTTTAGAACCATTCTCATGTACTCATCCATGGCTGCCGGGAGTGTTTTCACATGTGTTCACCTTTGATCTCCCAGCCTTTGCCGCTTTGGTCCACCAGGACGCCGCCCCGGGCAGTCGTCGACAGGGCCGCTGTGCCAGGGTGCCGAGGGCGCCAAGGGCATGGATGGTTTGGTTTGCTGAGCCCTGCGTGAGCCGTTGTTCTTTTAGGTCAATCCTGTCGTCAATGTGTGGGTCAGACCCAGGTCAAAGTACTCAAGAGGACAACTCGCATCGAGGAAGACAATTCCATTTGTTTCACATATGTTCAAGAGTTTTCAAGCACAATCGATAGTTTCGTGTCGTGTTCAATCCATTTGTTATCCATTTCTTCAATCCATTTTGTTTAGTTGAGCTTTCTATCCCATTTTTGTTGGTTCCCACACTCCGTTCCAGACCGCTCCGAGGTGAGCCACTGGGAACCCTATGACGGCTCCATGAGCATCCTGGAGATCCAGGTGGTCCCGCTCGTTGGATCGCTCGTTGGACCGTCGATCGTCACGGGGACTGATCCGTTCGCAGAGGCGGAGGTGACCAGGTGGGGATAGGTGGCGGATAGGTGGGGGTGGGGTCGTGAGTGGTGGGAGGTCGTGAGGTGGGAACAAATGGAGCCCTAGATCTTGGGGTTTGGGCATGAGACCTGGGATGAAATGGAAAGACATTGAAAGAAGCCGCGGATTGAACCGCTGAACCACTGTTTGTGGGGTAACCAGCTTCCCGATTCTGAGGGTTTTGTGCCACTGGCAAAGTCATTGTTATAGTTTGGGCCAGAAATGAACTTCCTGTGCTTTTAAAGGCCTGAAATAGATACCCTTGATTCACCCTCAATTCTGCCAGCATGTTTGGAATCATGTTTCATGATCATAGGCAATAGGAATCGCGGTTGTTGCAAAAGATGCTCTTCCTGGAATCCATGAAAACTCACTGCTCCTTTTTGAACCCAAAGGAGATTTCAAGTACTATCATGTTGAACCCGACCGAGCTCGACACACACACACACAGGTTGTCAACCGCTGCTTGCAGTAGATTCTGCATGGAAAGTCTATATCCGCCTACATACATCCAGAAATATACAAATAGAATTACATGGTGAACTTGGCATGAGGCAGATCCAAGCACAAGGCCAAATATGTTCCCAAGTGGTACAGCGGATCTTTTCTACCGTTCATCAGGATGAGTCTGAGAGGGTGTTGGTTTTCCTTGCCTTGCTATGCTCCAGTGACAGACAGCTAGGGTGTTAGGGTGTCATGTCAGACCGGGAAACACGCTCTGCAAGTCTTCCACGAGTCTGGACAGACACAGGCGAGCACAGGCCTTCCAGCTCAAGATGAGGCGCTGAACAAGACATGTATATAGAAGGAACATAGAATGATGTAATGTATATAAATATATAGTTGTTTTTTTTTCTTGGTTTAAGTAATTCTAAATAGATACAATATATATATATAATACATAACAATTACATTTATATCCGTCTATACATCATATACATCTACGAGGCGTTCTGCAAAGAGAGGAGAAGCGAAGAGGTGAAGCGAAGGGCCTGAATGGATGTCGGACTAGGTGCTTGAAGTGAAGTGGTTCATGTGCGGCAGTTTTCCCATGAATTTCAATGGTTTATCAACGTTTGCTTATGCGTGAGGAACATAGGGGCTGGATACCTCCAGCAAATGTTCATTGCGGCCAAGCACAAAAGAGTGCGATCGTGGACTTCTGGGGAATGCAGTGTCATGAAGACGCTCCTGCATCCAAGAAAGTCATCATGTATCCAATCACGTACTGCCTTGATGTTAACGTGTTGTGGAACGTGTTTGTGGAACGACGCCAGAAGGCTGCCTTGGTCACTCGTTTCTCCATCCGTTGACCGCGCATGCAGCACGGGGGGCATGGCACCGAAAGCCTCCCGGGCCTCCGCTGCCCAGGCACGGGAACTTTTGAGCGATCTCTACCTGTTGGCGCCCGGGCGACGGACGTTGGAGCGACACGTTTTCAGCGGCGGATGCCAGGGCGGATGATCAACTAAATACTGTTTCAAAGTTAAATATAGTACTGCAATATATTTAATTATTAATACTATATACCATGCATATTGTTTATGTCACTATATAGCATATGATATGACCCAGAACCCAATCGTTGGTTTTGGGATCCTGGGCATCTTCCGCCCCGTGACACAGCCGCTTTCAACCTTGGTATGGAAGGCCTGGAGGCCAGAAACCATGGGGGATGTGCTGAACATGCATTTCTTGGAAGTGTTGGCAAGTCCACACGCCTTGGAAACGTGTTATGGAGCTTTTTTGCAATCACTTCCTATGGGTGAAGACACCCAAGTCTTCTTGTGAAGACACCCTACTCAAATCCAACGGGTGGACAAATTGGTTACATGATACATATTTTCCAGATACTTCAATCACCGTTTGATAATCAAATCACCGTTTTCCAGATAGATGATTCATGATACATTATACATTGGGTAATGATAATCACCCATGAATCCTTTGTTTTCTTTCCCACACTTTCCGGCACAGAGTTGCTGCATGTTTCCTGGTAGATATTGTTCCATGTTTGTTGAATACAGAAGTAGGCTAGCCGGTGTGGCCAATCGCTTAAGAAGTGCACAAAGAGTTGAATAAAGAACTGCTCTCAAAGATATACTATTCTGACTAAGGCCTGGGTCGAGGCCCCATGAAGTGCCGTTCAGAGCAAAGTTCGCCAATGCCTGCCCGCGTTGTTGGTGTATTAATGTGTATTATTGATTGTTACATGCTGTATGTTTTTGTGACTGCTATGGGCTGCCAAGTTGGCGCGATGTGATGCGGCTATCACATGATCACATGAGCGGCATTGTGGCAGCATGGGGGCTAGAGTGAAAAAAGATATAGGTAAAGTCAGATCTCTCCCCGACTTTCAAGCCAGTTTTTGTAGGAATGTGCCAGTTCTTGCAGGACAGAACCATCCAAGGTTCCTACGGCTGGCCATGACCTCAACCAAGTTGTTGACCAGTTCTGACCCCTCCGCAACACCAAACCCTGGTCATGGGTTTGGCTACCACTGGCCCGGTCATTGAGGGGTCGTTTTGTAGACAATCTGAGGTGGAGGTTCATTGTAGCACTCGCTTGTAGCTTTCGCTTGCAGTCTTCTCATGCTGATCTGACATGGGAAACATGTCCTAAGCAAGGGTGAACATTTCTTGGGTCCTGGTGAAAGTGTGCAATATGATACATTATCTGGGGCTGGTTTTGCTCAGTTTAGGTACAATTAGGTGGGGTAAAAGGCCTTCGGCGGTGAAAGGACATGCGAAGCGCAATTGCTGGGGCCGACTGGTCTTTGCACTTGCAGCGTTGGTGGTGTCGTACTGAGTTTGGAGATGCCGCGAGCTCTTATGTAAAGGCCAAGCCCTCAATATGGAGTGGGGTCTCAAGTTCATAGGTGTTGAGGGGATGCAGGGGCTGTTTTGAACGTTTGGACATTTGCAAGTGCAATAGTTTTGCAGCCACTACTACTGACCCGCTCAGAGGGCAGTTGGTACCTGACCACATCGGCACAGAAGACTGTCATGGTTCGAACAGCTGACAGCCACACACTCGTTGAGACAATCTGCAATAGCTTTCCAGCGCAGTCGTGCGGTTGTCATAGCATGATTCAATGATTCATGTAGTGCTTGCCATGCAGTATGTGAGATGGCAACATGTTTACACACTAAATTGGCCGCTTCGTGCGGAACATTGCATTGCGAAACTGCAAGCTGCCAGCAAGCGACCCAGAAATCCAGTGTGGCCACTATGCACGCTCAAAAATGCCTGACTGCACTTAGGCGCCGCGCGGCATCAATGTCCTCCTCTATGTGTTGCCGTTTGGCACCGTCTCAGAGGAGCTCATGCATCGACTCGTCTTCCTACTGCAGTGGCTGGCTTGCACCTGACAAGTGGCATCATTTATTTGCAGATTTGGGCAGTCATCCCCAATCAGATTCAGATTAGACAAGGGGCCTCCGGTGGCTTCGTGTTGCTGGATGCTCGCGGAAAGCGGGTGAGGATGGCAACGTTCTCAGCACAGAGGGTGGCACGAAACTTCTCCAGATTGAACAGCCTCATCATGCCTCACTCAAGACACCCCTAACCACTGGCTTAGAAACCACTAGCTTAGATCCAGATTGTTGATGAACAGGACACCTTTCTTTATTCCTGATGTGCCCCAGAAAAACCTCCAACTTACCTTGAAACAATCAGTTTCTGTCTCTCAGACTGTGCTATGATCAGTGCAAATCCTTTTGGAATTCTCAAATCTGTGTGCCTGTCTAATCGGGGTGTACTCGTCGACAAACAACGAGATGCGACGATCCTAGCATCGGTTGCTATAGAACTCGTTCTGTTTCAAGGGCGCCAGCAGGAAAAAATACTGTTGGCGACCTCAAGAGTGAATGGATCTTTGTTCGGACGTTGTTTAAATTAGAGAATTGGTTGGACGCCGGCCCGGTGCTGTGGTTAAGCATATGATCCTTATGTTTTGGGGGTCCCTTTGGACCAACTCTGAACGAAACCAAACACTGCCCCTTACCGTGACACCGCAGAAGAGACACTTTTGCTGAAGGCCGGGAGTCATGGAAAATGACAAATATTCACAAATTGTTATATAATTTTTTCAATTAACAAATCATGGTATTATGTTGCACTCAAGGTTGGCCGTTCTGGGAAGACATGGCAAGACGCTTCACTGATTCTCCCACGCAGTGGCGCAACTGGTTTTGAATGGTTTTGAAAACACATACCATCGTCCAGTCGGGCTGAGGTATCTTCTTGGCAACGAGATCCTTTTGAACTTGTACGTGGTGGTGCTTTGCCAAGAGGGGTTGAGTTTGTTTCGAGTTAGTTTGGTTTTATTTTACCGTCCATTGGCACAATTGAACATATATATATATATGGAATTGCATTTTTATTTCGGCATGTTCAATCACTCATTTGGTTTAAGAGCGGCAAAGTTGCCTCCAAGACAAAATGCACATTGAAATACAATGAAAAAGAAATGGTTTTCTGCACGCCCTTTTGTTTTGGACAATGTTTGCAAGCTATATAGATTCTTTTGCGCAAAGGAAGAGGGCCCATACCACTGTGGAACCGGTGGTGCCTGGTGCCACTTGCTTCCGGCCGAAATCGCCTCCACTGCCATGTTCCGGCCGCGGTTGGCGCTTTCCCCGCAGCTCCGACTCGCGCGAGTCATGCGCTCCAGCAGTGGCGTGGCGACGCCAAAGGCTCCCTATTGGGCGGTGATCTTCACCAGCGAGCGAACGGGTGTGGAGGCATGGAATTCGGATGAACTTCTATATAGTGGACAGCTAGCACTTAGAATATGACCAAAAGGATTTTTGGTTTTGATGAACTTCTATAGGTGTTGTTTCAGATGTGATTCATGTGTGTTTCTTTGCCTCCAATGGGCATTGGAAGCAAGGGACGAGTCTCTCTGTTCGGCCTTCCGGGCCTCTCTGCAATGCGGCTGTTCTCCGGATCCGCTCTGGGGACCGGATAGTTGGACCGATGGACATGCCAAGAATTGGACGATTTGCCTTGCTGCGTTGCTAAGTGCTAACATTTGCAGGACACTTTCAAGAGTAAGGATGTTTGCATGTTACCTGTTTGGGTCATAAGATGTCATAAGATTGCCAAATTCATGGCCCAAATAATGTACCGCTTTGGTTCTGAACAGGAAGGTTACGATGAGATGGCTGAGCGCATGGTGGAGCTGGCAAAAAAGCAGCCAGGAGACGTTGTGGCCTTGCATTGACCTGATTTTGGCTGGGAATTGGTCGGGTCCGTGGGTAGTTGGTGAGATCTCGATCTTTTTGGAGTGTTTCTTCGGAGCTACTGTTGGCTGTTGATGGACAACATCCTGCACCGCTTTGCCCGCAGTTTTCTTGCTGCCCTCGTTCTCCCTCATCAACATTGGGGCCACCACAGAGTTAAAGGTCCAAAATCCTGCACCGCTTTGCCGCACAGTTTTCTTGCTGCCCTCATTCTCCCTCATCAACATTGGGGCCACCACAGTGAGACAATTAAAACGAGTTGAAGGTCAAACATCCTGCACCACCTCCTCAGAGGCGTCGCTCCAACATTGAATGAGGGGGCGCAGGGGTTGTTGCTATGCGACCCTTCCAGGGTAAAGTGGTGAGGTGGTGCAGGATTTCGTTCATCAACAGCATGGTTTTTGATGGTTTCAGTTTGGTGTTTCATCCCAGTTGAAGCATTGCCAAGCCAAGATGTTCCATGAAGTTTACACTTGTGTCGTCTTGGGTGTGGCCCAAGACGCACCAGAAATCTCAATGCACACCAGAAATCTCAATGCAACGGTGTGGCCACCCGCTGCACGCTGTTCCAATCCAGTGTTTATCAGCGAGCACCACACCTGGCTGATCCTGGCTGCTTGCGTGCTTGTCCAACATATGAACAGACTTGTTGTTCCTGCTGGTAGTTGCAGCCCTGAAATGTAAATGAAGGTATTTTTTTAAAAGTAGAATGCAACTTTTCTACTTGAGATTTCAAAGATACATGATATAATATAATGTATATAATGTATAAATATGAAGATACTTGAAACCACAACCCATGGTAACATCTACGAATCTACGACTCCTTTTCTTTGCCGAGCAGAACAGGATCGACATTTTTGTTGTGTTCTTTGCGCATGACCCGATGGCGTTGTGCGCGTTAGCTCAACGGATTCGCTCCTACTGGGACTCGCCAGGATTCCTGGGCGTGGAGAGTGCACGGGACACGGTGGGTATCACTGTGAGCTACTGGAGATCAGAGGAGGACATCGCCCATTGGAAGGCGCCCAATCCTCTAGACGGGACGAACGGTCTAGGTGTGGTCGGTCTGTCGCGTATGGTTATGGTTTGGAACTGGGGTATTGGGTGGGACACCAAAATTGGATGGAATTGCTGTTACTTGGTGTTTGTTGGTTGATACTTTTGTTTGTTAACTCTCAATTTATGAGGTTTAGGGTGGCTGCCCTTTGGATATTCCCTCGCACACAAGACAGCCAATGGGATAGTCAGTTGAGAAACAAGACTATCAAGACTTGTTAGATGCTTCTATTGTAGAGTTTCGCCGGCGATGCAGTTCCTGTAGTTCCAACGTCGATCTCCGGAAGCCGGGTCAAACGGGCTAAGCTGAAGCTAGGCTTAGCTACAATGTCAGGAACAGCATCGCTGGATTTGAACCCTTCACTCCAGGTGATGACCAAAGAAACGCATGGCCATATTGTGGCAAACAGGGCTTGAACATCCAAAGCTGCCACACTAATATGGCCCCTGTCAGGTTTGGGATGATTATTGCCTTGGTCAGGTAGGGTACAGACACCGCCGCCACAGCCGCCGCGTCAGGCCCACGGAGCACATTTGATGGCGCAGAAGAAGGGCAAGAGAGATTGGTATCGCCGCTACACGACGCGGATCTGCCGAGTCGAGCGAGACTATAGCTTTGAAAAGCCGTGAAAACCACCCGATGAGATGCATCAACTGGGTGCCGATCAGGTGCCGTTCGGCTTCCGAAGGCTGGTTTCGAGAGTTCAGAGTTGGGCTCAGCCATGCGATGGAGTGGAATAAGATGAGATCCTTGGGTCTAAGCTGGTGGATGCGGGTGAGGATCCTCCAACGTCTCGGAACGTCTGAGCAGAAATGCCCAGCAAATCGTGGCACGGTATTCACATGGCTGGGGACTGGGAGTGATTTCACTTTGCAGACTCACTAACTACATGTCAATGGAGGGAGTTGCCTTCATGGCCGTCATCTTCGGAGGCCTCAAGTTAGGATTTTGCTGTCTTCGAGCCATCACCGAGAAAAGCATTGCTGGAGTTCTCGTTGCTTGTGGCAAAAACGAATCCGCTCAGTCACAGCAGCGATAACTCAATGATATGAGATGTGAGGCGTTCGTCGTTGTTTGCGTCTGCCTATAGAAACAACGTGAAACAACATTGCATTACTGTAAATTGAAAAGCAGCCGGCGATTGTGGTCTATTGACGTTTTTCTGCCTGAGTCTAAGACACACTGACTTGAAACATGATAAGCTTCAATATTGAATGCGTACCACTTGGCAAACAAATCAACATCCAAGGTGAAGGGCGTTCCGATGGTTTTCTTTGCTGTTCCAAAGCTAGTAGAGATTTCAACCCACTTGTTGAAGGATTTGCTGGTGTGGTGTACAGGCCTACGTAAGTGACCTCAAACCTTGGGATCAAAAGATCACTTTGAAGAACACAGTGTTAAATATAGCCTCAGAGTCCAAGACTATTTAAAACATGGTCTTTCAGTGACCCGAAAAAGGAATCAGGGGTCCGAAACTGTCCCAAACATAGTCTTTTGTACTTCTATCAATGTAATATTGAACCAAATATGTGTTAAATTAATATATATATAGACTATTAAATATGTACATGTATACCTGGATCTTCCAACTGTGTCAAATTTATGTATGTTTCATCTATAAAGCAAGCCAAGTTCGGCAGAAATTCTGCATATGGCAAAGTTGGAAGATCCAGGTCCATTATACAGTATTGTATCCGTATAACAATCTATCTTGACTATTCTGTTATGGTCTATTATACAATAGATATTCTACAATATCCGTTCAATATGACTGTCTTATACAGTGGACACCTGAGGTGACGGAGGCGCCTTCGAGCCTTCAAAGCTCGGACGATGCCGTCGAGTGGGTCCAGTCCTTTGCCGTTCGGGCTGCCCGGTGCCGTGGGGGCCGTGCCGTTCGGGCCGGGACGGGGGGGGCGCGTTGGGGGCGTTTTTGCTTTTTGTTTGGGGAAATAGATGGAACATATAGACATCAGATATACTCCCTGAGCAAAAAAGAAACCCATGGTTCTTTCAATAGAATCAGTAGATCCTTGCATATCCTTGGCACTCCAGGTGAGGCGTTTCAAGATATCCAAGGTCGGCAGCACCCTCAAGGTCCCTCATCGCCACCGAGCTTTTGCTTTGGCCATTTGACCTCCGACGCTGCAGGACCAGGATTCGGGTTTTCGACACCTCTTCACTTTGGCCGATGTCTCAGTTGGCTGGACGTTGATTGGGAGATCATGCCGTCAGATCGGCTCAACCAGCTCAAGCTGCTTGTGGACTTGTTTCAACATGTTTCAACATAAGATGATCATCATGATCCCATGCTTGTGGATATGTTTTTGTTTTAACTAACTTTACCAGATGAGTACGCACATTCAGAAGGTCTGGAGATTCTGCTGATCTGAAGTCCACCTGAGCCCACGAAGTCCCCACCTGAGTCCTTCCGAGGCGGGCAAGAACCCTTCAAGGCGCAGACAGCGCGCGTGGGCGTTTCTTGCTTCGTGTGCTTCGCTTTGCACCGGAGACTGACGGACCTCCAACCTCACATGAGAGGGGAACCCGAAGCGGACAACTCACACACCACTGAGGCAAGAGCTTGTTGATGACTTGCTGGAAAGGACAGTCCAAAGATCCTTTGAAGAGGGTGTAAAAAGCTTCGACAGGGGATTGTCCGAGTCTAAGAAGCATCCCTAATTGCACTGACTCATGTATTCCATTGATATTCCATTGAAGTTGCCACAGGATCCTAAATGGTCGAAGTCGGACTGGATCTACAGAGTCCTGAATATTGACGTAACTTCAATTGGATGACTTCCGAGCTAATTCAAGGGCCCAAGATGGACATGTAATTACGTATCCGTACGTGCTACTACAGTATTTAGTGTGGATCCACATAGACTCTCTGAGAAGGTGATTTCTTCAACACTGGACCTCGTAGGTTTGGGAGGATCCAAGGACCTTCTGAGAAGGTAGGACTGGTTGCCGAGGGACCTGCAACCGAGCTCGCTTGTGTTTTTGGTCGGTAGTTCAACATACCTTTATTGTTGTCTTTTGTTTAGGTTTGTGAACCACATTTCAGAAAAAGATCACAACACGACACTCTGAGGAAGTTCCAGGTATATGTCTTTCTTCGGATCTTCCTGGCGGACCGCTACAGCGACGGAACCCACAAAAGCCGCTTTCCCACCGGACACCGGAGAGGTTCATCATCCTTGGCAAGGCGATCCAGGAGGATCGCGGCAGTCGACTCGCCGAGAAAGACGTCGATGTCGGCCGATAGGGGCTCGGGGGGCTTGGTGTTGATGTGAAGCGATTGTGTGCGAAAAGAGGTGCCCCTCTTTTTCACGTTACAGACTTTTCCCTGAAGGATCTCAAAGGAGCCTATTACAGGATTGTCCGTTTCTATCGTTCGTTTCACTGCAATTTTGGACGCTCAACATTGTGACGTGCCAACCTTGCTTCATCTTGCTGCCCATCACCCAAACGGGATGTGTTGGGAATGTGTGACTGACTCCATCTCACTACCTACTTTGAAAACCCCCGCCCATCCGGGGTCTTGGCCCGAAACGCTGTGATCTTCGCTTGGATCGAGTCCGAATCGCCAGGACGAGCGCCGTGCAACGGTCTGGTCCGCCTGCGGCCGCTCGTCGGCAGCGGAGGCGGCGTTTTGGAGACCAAGTTCCGCAACAGATGGACTTGTGCTGTGGAATCTACTTTCCTGAACAAGGGTACTTGCTAGTGACGTGTTTTGAGGACACACCCAGGTGTTTAAGAGCCATTAAGAGACGATCTTTTTTCAGATTCAGCGTTTGCAATGATTCTTTTGGGTTTCTTGGCATTTGCATGGGGCTGATGTTCAATGCACCACTCCTGGATCTATGCTGGATGTGTACCAGCACCTAAGGCAATTAATATCAAAACTTAATGGATCACACTGAGGTACCACAGCAGCATGTTTTGTCTATCATTGCCCTTAAGTCCGTATCCATTTGGTAGCTCAAGGCTCAAGGTGTTGAAAGCCCTACCTGTCACTGCCGCCCGCGGGTGCCGAGGACGACATCCAGTCAAGACCATGCCGGCCTTCATCGTGAAGAACATGCAGCAGGTAGACCACGTGTTTTTCTCCCGGCAGCTGTGAAAGGTGGACGTATGGGCTATACCTGGATCTTCCAACTATGCAACAGGTTTGCCTTTTCATCTATAAATCCAGTCAAAAGGCAGACATGTTGCACAGTTGGAAGATCCAGGTATAGATCGTATTGGCATATGTTTGCCGCTTGCCGACAAGCAAGGTCACTGACTTGAAAAGACAATACCATCAATGCGTGAAACCAATCCAACAGCATCCAACAGCAGGTTTACAGATTTCTCCTTCCCCTGAGCGTACTACAGATGTGTCATAGATCTGGTGCGAGAGAATGTAAGACAGGCTAGCTCTCCAATTGCAGTGAATTCTTATCAATTCCAGTGCTGCCATGTTTGCTTCGCTTTGGTTTATGCTCACAATGCTCACACAATGAGACTTACAAGTCGGATCTTTTGTGGTGCAGGATCGATCCACTGGTTGGAAGTCCTTGTCTCTGAATTTCAGTGCTTGGGACACCAAATTGGTGGTTGGCTGGGCCTTCTGAAACGACATACCCAGTGGTGCAAACCCGCAGACACTCCCCGCGCTCACAGGTGCTGAGTGCCATCAAGGTGGGGAACATGTTGAGTGAAAGTGGGATGGGATGGTTATGGCAAGATTCGGACGGTGGATGGTTTGTTGACATTTCGATGGCACACATTGTTGTATATTCCGTAGGGCTTGAACGCCCTAGGAAAATCTATTGTCCATGTGAAGCCGCTTTCGGAGAGACTATGAAAAAACACTGGCCATCACTGTCCCACTCTTAGTGACGCGGACCTTGATTTCAAGGGTCCGCCGTTGGCGCCGAAGTATGGAGGCTGATGGCAATAGGCTTCTCATGATTCAGGCGCAAGTGTGGCTATCTTGAAGTGTGGAAAAGTATTCAGGCTCTTGTTCTGGTGATCTCAGAAGAAAGTACAAGTATTATCTCAGTGCAGCCCAGTGATTCCACATTGCTGCTTGTGCAGAAGGCATCCATTGAGGCATTCCAAGGGGCTCACCAGCAAGTGAGACATCAAAATGTTCATCTTCGACCAGCAATCGTGAAAGGAAAACCATGAAAAAACATGAACACCATGACATACATTTTGTCTTCGTCTTCGTCTTCGTCTTCGTGAAAGGAAAACCATGAAGACCATGGGGGTGCTTTTGTGGACTGTTTGCACCTCCCAGCCGCTCCATGGGACGGGAAATACGGCGGACGCACCACCCCAAAACCACCAGTCATGGGGCCGGACTGCTGGAGCGTCTGTATGAGCATATCATGGCATATGAGTATGTTTAAATATGTTTTGATTGGTATGTGTGGAGATGTGTTGAGTCAACTGTCACTCTTCTTTTGATGAGAATTGAAAAGACGATCCCGTAGAGCTCGGCGCATCAACGACTTGAGGTCACTAGTCACTGGGCACCTGCACATGCACGTTGTTTGGACAGCTTCTATGACTATTGTGAAATCTTGACTGAAATGTCCGACATGAAGCAAAGCCGAGGGTACTGACTTAGCTTCCCATGCCTCTCTCCCACTCTGCCAGGTGGAGCGAGATCGACTGGACGAGAAGGAGTACAAGGACACCCGGAATGTTACAGGGCTCTTGGCCGGACCGTGCCCGTGGGCAGAACCGATTGGATGGATGAAACGTATGTAGATTTCAATATATAATGCAGAGCTTACAAATTTGGCCCAGACCAACCCCAGACCCCAGGTGACAATCACCCTCAATCTGCCAATGCCATAGTTGTGAGGGCTCGCATAGGCTCGCGGCAGTCGTTTTACATCGTTTTACCTTTCACCATGGACAGAGATCAGGACAAACGAATCATTTCCGCAGGTCGTCTTGATGTCACTCTTTA